CGTAGGGTGTCGGCGCGGCATCCCGGTCCCGCGGGGCGGAGGATGGCGTGTGGCGGCGGCGGCTGCTGCTGCTCCAGCGCGGGTCGCCTGAACGCGGACAACGCGCGGTTCCTCCTGCTGGCGGTGCTGATCGTGCTGTACATGCTGTGCGGCGCCGCCGTCTTCTCGGCCATCGAGCTGCCCACCGAGCGGGAGGCCAAGGAGCGCTGGGAGGAGCGGCTGGAGAACTTCACCCGCCGCCACAACCTCAGCCGCGCCGAGCTCCGCCGCTTCCTCCGCGAGTACGAGGAGGCCAGCGTGGCCGGCATCCGCGTCGACGACATCCGACCCCGCTGGGATTTCACCGGCGCTTTCTACTTCGTGGGCACCGTCGTTTCCACGATCGGTGAGCGGCGGGACCCGCGGAGGGGACGGGCGGGGGACGGGGCGGCGGCGGGGCGAGGGGCGGCCGGGGGTGCGCAGCCCCCCCTCAGCTCCCCCTCAGCTCCCCGGGTCTGCAGCGGGCGGCGTGCCGGTACCGGGCACGGTGCTGTCTCCCCGCTGCTCCTTTTCCCCCCGATCTCTCCCGTCAAAGAGGGAAGCTCCACGCTTGAGGAAAACCTTCCCCTGTGCAGCGCCCCAGAAGCGCTTGGAAGCCCGAGGGCTGGTCGCCCCCCGGTAGCGGCTGCCAGACTTTTCCCCGGGAGTTTCGATTCCCTGCGCGGGGGAAGCCGGGTTCGGCATGCGGGGATGGACTTCGGACAGCTTTAAACAAACGCTCTATGCCTTTAAATTCGGGGAAATCTCATAGCAAAGCTGAGGGCTGGAGGTGGGCGGCTTCACGGGCTGCAAGCTCCGAAGGGACCTTTCTGGGGATCTAGTCTGGTCTGGGCAAGAACCGTAAAATAGATTTTGTGGTGCAAAGTGTACAACTCGGAAGGGCTGGTTTTCAAACCACTCGGCTTTTTGCTCTTCTGGCTTTTTAAGGCAGAATCAACAAGTCGGTGGGCGCTGCTTATTTCGTTTGAGGGGAAAAAAAAAAAACCAACCCACAAACCAAAAGCCAAAGTTTGTTCAGGTTGAAGGAGCCTTCAGGGGAAGGAGGGGGGAGGAGGGGTTTGACCGAGAGTACATGAAGATGGAGATGGAGAGCACCGGGAGCTGACAGAAGCACCCCAGGGAGCCCGTGGGTGTCGGTGCAGGCGGCTGCGGGCAGCTAAAAGCCCCGGAGAAACGGAGATTGCTCTCGTTAAAGGCAGGCAATCTGATGTGCATTTACCGCTGTGACAAATGGGGCCGCTAAATCTTGGTAATGGCATCTCCAATTCACATCAGTCTCCCGCCACGTGCGAGACGCAGACTGAGGAATGATAGTGTTTAATTACCAACAGCCGTTCTCCATTAGCGCTCCTTCCCTGAAGGGGAGGTTTGAGATGCCTTGCTTCATGTGGGACCCGGGGGAGTTTGTGGTCCTGCCCTTCGTAGAATACCTGACACTTCCCAGTTGTTCTGCTCAGCTGAGTTTCTTGAGTTAATTTTGTTGTGAAAGGTGTCATCGGGCTGCTTTTATATTTCCTCAGGGCATCAAGATTTGGGTGGTTTTATGTCCTTAGACCCTAAGTCTGCAAGACCTGAGAACTATGCTTAAACGTTCTGCTGAACTGGTAATTTAAAGTAACTTACAACATTGCTAAGCTCATGTTTGTGAGCTGCTGTAGTTTGTTTGCCATTGTAACATGGTGTTAAAATACAGTGTTGATGATAATGTTTGCTACAGCTGTGCAATCGTAGTAAAGAGAGATGGTACCAGATCTCCACAGTCTGCCTGGTCCACCTCTGTTCTTAGAGGGGGTCAATTATATGCGACTTGTTTTTTTTCCTGATAGATGTTTGTCCAAATTTCCACTCTGAACCTGCGCTGTTGGAGATCCCACAACTTCCACAAGGAGTCCAGCCTTGTGCATTATTGTCCTCACCAGAAAAAAAGGCTTTCCTGATGCCTACCTGTTGTGGTGTGTCGTTGTTTTTGTTGTCCTCAGACCAGGGCGTGATTTCATTGCAGTTCAGTGACTTGCATTTTTTTTTGTCTTAGCATCCTTCGTACCCAGAGAACGGCCTCTTTGGTACTCAGACAGTTGTCCTGTGTCCCTTCCGTCCTCTCCATTCAGAAAACCACAGTGTTGTAATCTCCCTTAGCAGTAGTTCTCACACACATTAACTGATGTCAGTAATTCTTAACATTAACATTTATCTGATATACCCTTTTTGCCTTAACAATCTCATGTATCTGTGGTCTTGTTAACTGTATCTGCTTGTAAACACAAAAAATCCACTTGCCCACGCGCACTTTCTGGTAATTTCTCTGGCTTGCTGATTTCCATTGCCCACAAGTTAGAGCTCCATCAATGTTTCTGCAGTAAATGTCCACAAAAACCCTTTTTCCTTCAGTTTACGTATGGTCTGTAGACTTTGGCGATTTACATCCTGTCCCTTCTTTTGACCTGGCATTGCTGTTTTCTTCGTCTCATCAATGGTGTCACTTTCTCAGTGTCTTCTATCGATTCCATCATTCTTTCTGAATCCCCTCAGTAGCGTTGCACCTTTTTCAGTCACGACATCCCCCTTTCTTACTCTCAGTAGCATTGCTGCCTTGCCAGACTGGTGGTGCGTTTCAGATCTTCATCTTCACTTTTGGTGTTTTTATCAGCTGTATTGGGGTCCTAAGAATAGATTTTGCTTTACACCTCTCAAATCAATATTTTTGCTCTCTTCTTGGCCCTTTTCCGAATGCCCCAGTACAGCGCCCCAAAATTAATGTGTTACTCCAGCTGTGACCTTGCTAGTTCCAAGGAAAGCGGAAGGATTATTTCATGTGTTAATTAGTCAATGCTTCTGGTGGCTGTACACATTTCTACAGCTAAATAAAATTTGGTGCCTTCAATTAAAAGCACTTGTTCAGGAATAGGTACTTTTATGACATATTCCTAATATCATCTAACCTTCCACTCTCAGTACTATGTTATATAGAAGCTTTTGATTTAGCAGCTAAGTTGTTGTAAAAGCAGTCATCTTTTATTTCTAACCTTTTTTTTTATCTTTTTTTTTTTTTTACCGTTCTACTGGAGTAATATTTTTCTTTTCCTACAGTAAACAAGGTGAATTTAACCACCCTGATATACTTCTAAAGCATTACTCAAACATTACTTGTAGCATCAGTTGCCTTCTGGACTCTATCTGGTGAGAAATACCAGTGTGTATTTTTGGCTTTGAGAGGAAAGAAGAGAGCTTTGCAATACCTAAGGGAATAATCCTGTCTTTTTAATTAAGATTCACATAAAATGTTTGTCACCTAGATATCAGGGTGTGATATGAGTGCATCGAGTCAACGGGTCGAAACTATATATAACTAGTCTATTTTCGTTTGGCAAGAAAATACAAAGCTAAATGGAGCTGAACTAATAAAAAAAGAAATAACTCATCTTTTTTCAGTTTAGTAATTTAGAGTTTGTTCCATAAAAGCGTTTATTCCTATCCCTGCTCAGTCTGTAACTCCTAATTTTGATGTGCCTTTTACGTAGTGGGATCCAGCACTAAGTACTAAGGTTACCTGTACAATAAATGGAAGCATCAGAAATGTAAGGAGGTAGCCACAAATACCTGCCCAGCTGGGAGACCACCTGGACTAGCCAGGAGGTAACCCCAAGGAAGAACATGGGGTCTAAGCCTCTGCATCCCATGAAGGCAGGTGCCTAACTCTGACCCACCAGGAGGGTCTTGCATGTGTATAAGTGGGCTCCTCTGTTTCCGATCAGCCCTTGGCCACATAATCGGGAGGTTCAGGCTGGATATTAGAAGAAATTTTTTCACTGAAAGGTTTATTAAGCCTTGGAATAGGCTGCTCAGGGAAGTGGTTGAGGCACCATCCCTGGAGGTGTTCAAAAGATGGCCTGACATAGTGCTTAGTGACATGGTTTAGTGATGGTTTTTTATCAGAGTTAGGTTGGTGGTTGGACTAGATGGTCTTAAAGGTCCCTTCCAACCTGGACAATTCTATGATTCTGTAATATAGTGTCTCTTTTGCCTAGAAATTGGGTGTTAGTAGTACTGTCTCAGGATGTGAGAGATTGAAGCAACTTCTTTCTCAGCAAACAATTGAAGCAACATCCCTGTATCTCGGCAGAGTGTCCTCACCACCAGCCTGGGGAGTAACTTTAAGCAGGAACTCTCAGTATTTTCTATTCAAATTCTTCTGCGTTGCATAGAGTAATAAAATATTCTGCATACCAGAAAGTAAAACAAGATCCAACTCCCAGTTTGCATTTCAGTGGATGTTTATGTCATTTATATGGAGGGGTTCAGTGTTTGGTGGGTTGTGGGTGCTCAGCAGCTTTAGACAGTACGGCTGCAACCCTCAGCAGGCAGGTACTCTGGTATCTAAGATCCCAAGAACCTCTGTGGTACCTTGGGACAGTAGGGCCTCCAAGAGGTAGGGAGCTGCTGCCTGGGTGGTTGAAGTGGTGGAAATAGGTGGACACCACTACCCTTGAGCAATACAGTGGGTTACCATACTGGGATACGTGCAGCATCTAGAGCCTTCTCTACTCTTTGGAACCATTGGGTAAAAATAGTGACTTCAGTTGCATCAAATGAAGAATTTTCCAATGCATCAAGACGCCCTTATCTGATGTACTGCTGTTTCTGTTTGACTAACTTAACAAAGTCGAAAGGACTTTGTTTCCTTTTTCTTTTTTTTTTTAAAAAACCACCTATGCCCACCCCCTTCCATAGTGTGATCTTGATTAAAAGCTGTTTATTTTAACTGTAAATAGAATGAAATGTATCTCCTCATGAAGGCATACTCCTCAAAGTGATACGGCTGCCCTTTTCACAGGCGGATGGAGGTTGGAGAGGATCTCTAGATCCTCACTCCAAGCAGGGTCAGCTACAGTCGGTGCTCAGGGCTGTGTCCTGGTGGGGTTTGGTTATTTCCATGGATGGAGACTCCATAAGGGCAATTTGTGCCAGTGTTTCACCACCCTCACGGTTAAAGAGTGGGTTTTTTTTCTCCTGGTCAAATGGAATTTCCTGTATTTCAATTTGTTCCTGTTGCTTCTTGTCTTTTCTGCGTGAACTGTTTATAAGCAGCGAGGCAAAGGAGGAAACTCTGTCATCTTTGCAAAATGAGGTACGTTTTCTGGAGAAATTGTCGAGATTTTCCTGTAGAGAGTGACAAGCAGCCAGACAGTGTATTGCACGGAAGGGGTGGAAGGAGCCACAGCACCTTCTTTAAGCAGCCTGGAGAGGGTTGCTGGTGGGAGCATCATTTACTAATGAGGAATCCTGCGTGGATGAGGCAGCCACACTGCCCACGTTATGGCAGTCTGTCCTGGGGCCAAGGAGGGAGTG